GGAGAGCAGGAGAGGGGCATAGCAATGTATTTTCACAAATGTATGCATGCCTCGATCCTCGTGCCACCAATCACGCATCTCGATGCATGATGGTCGAGGAGTCGAATTGTGCAACTCAATATAGAATGAATGCACATATAAACACAACAAGACCTAACTCCATCATGGATGATCCGGAGTGTCGGTGACTTGGAATTGAGACACGTTCCGTCACTCGGAGTACGAAACGTACCTCGTTTCCCGTGCTCCGGCTAACTCCTATCCCAAACACGATGCCATATGCATGATATGCAACTAAGATACAACCTAGCATACACAATGCTATGAAATAAAATGGCATGCACAATGCACAATGGACTTACACTAACACAAGTGGACCTCAACCACACTCGCATAAGAGGCCATTAGATGAAAATGAGACACTCGAGATGCGTGCATACATGCACGCAAATCGAGGACCGACCCTAAGGCACCAAATGCCACTCTAACAAGACATGGCAAGGCATGGAATATGGCATACTAGCATGCAAATTTCAGTAGCAAAATATGATGCAAAACGGCTCCAGGACATGGCAATATGGTACCTGATGCGTGAAATGAGACTCGAAACGCAAAACTAGGCACACGCAATGGCCTATAGCTATACAAAGCATGCTTTATTTGAACATGAAGTGTGAAGACAGAATCAAGACAGTCCCAAAACAAGCATATTTATAGTTTTAATCAAGGCCAAACAATGGACACAAATAGGACTAAGCTAGCATGCAAAAATGGCCTCGAAAGAGAGGTAATGAAGCAAGTAGCAGCTTCTGGACCTAAATGGCTAAGATCCCTTCAACAAAGTTGAAGAGAGGCTCAAAATGAAGCACTTTACAGTTTACAACAAGCCACGGATCTAAACACAAACAGGCCTAAAACATTGTGCAAGAAATGAGCCAAAAAGAAGACAAAGAGGCAAGTGATGGTTGCTGGCCTCAAACATAGGAGGTCCCTTCAACAAAGTTGAATAGGGGCCCAAAAAATGGTATTTTTCAGTTAGTGACCAAACCCAAAACAGTGCACAAGTAAGCCAAAAATACTATGCAAGAAATAGGCCTAAAAGAAGGTTTAAACACAAAGTGTAAAAAGGGAGCCTCAAACAGCAAAATACCCTTGATAAAACATGAATAGGGGGTCAAAATATGACTATTTTCAGTTTGGGTTGGAGCCCAAAAATACAAGCACAAGGGGCTAACAAAACATGCAAAAATAAGGCCAAAAGAGGGATAAAGAGGCAAGTGACAAAAGGAAGCCTCAAACAGTGAAGAGCCCTTCAACAATGTTGAATAAGTGTTCAAAATAAGCCACTTTTCAGTTTATAACCAAGCTCGAAACAATTTACAAATTAGCCTAAAATGCTATGCAAGAAAGAGGCATACAAGAGAGGTAAAGAAGCAAGTGTAAAAAGGAAGCCTCAAACAGGGAGAGACCCTTAAACAAAAATGAAAATGAGCTCAAAATAATGCTATTTTCAGTTAGGGTCGGAGCCCAAATATGCAAGCAAGAGGAGCTAATATATTGAGCAAAAATAGGGCCAAAGAGAGGGATAGAAGGCTTACCCTTGAAGACCAATGTTTCAACAACTCTTGGCTTGAGAAAAGGTGCTTCTTGCCTCTGAAAACCAGCTCCAAGTGTTGGAAAGGATGTTGGGGAGGTGGTGCTATGTGGTGGTGTAGAAAGGGGCAAAAAAAAACAAAAGGGTTTTGATGCTTGGAATATAGAGAGAGAGAAATTAAATGTAGGAGGCTTAAGCAAAATTTTTTTCTAATCCAAAATGCAGCTGGAGCTGCTGGTTTTATAGAGGGAGGAATGGAGGAAAAGGGGGGGAAAATGGGGGGGAAAATCAATTCAAATTTCCCTCAAAAAATAGGCCTAAAAGAGAGATAAAGAGGCAAGTGGTAGCTTCTGGCCTCAAACCAAAGAGATTCCTTCAACAAAGTTGAATAGGGGCTCAAAACAAGACACTTTACAGTTTACATCAAGCCACGAAACAGCTCACAAATAAGCCTAAAATACCATGCAAAAATAGGCCTAAAAGAGAGTTAAAGAGGCAAGTGATAGTAGGAGACCTCAAACAGCAAAAGGTCCTTAATCACACATGAAAAGGAGCTCAAAACATGACTATTTATAGTTTGGGTCGGATCCCAAAAATGCTTTCAAGAAAGGCTTAGATATAGAGCAAGATAAGAACAAAAAAGAGGGAAATGAAGCTTACCCTTGAAGACCAATGGACCAGCAGCTCTTGGTCTGAGAAATGGTGCTCCTAAGCTCTGAAAAATAGCTCCAAGTTGTTGGAATGGATGGTGGTGGGGTGTATACCAAAAACCGGATCAAACGGAGGCGGTTAAGTGGTCCCGAACCGAGGCACACGGCCGTCGGCTCCGAAAAATCGGAAACCGGGCTCCAAACGGGAAAAATGGCCTACGACCACGAAACGTAGCCTACGGCCACTGAGAGATGATCTACGAGACCTCTCCCTCCCTTCGGGAAGAGAAAACAGAGAAAACAATGCCTGGTTCGCAAACCGAAGCAAGACACGAAAGAGCCCGGAAGTCCGGAGGCAAGGCTCGTAGCCGAGACTCTGAAACTTCTGAACGAGCACAATATGCACCATCACCGAGCACTCAATCGGTGACGTCTGAGTCTTAAGGTCGGTCAAAAATGGGGTGTCTACACCTATGCTCGAGCACTCATTAGCAAAAATGCTCCTTTGCTCAAGCTCAACATTCTCTGCTCAACTGCATACACCTTTCCTTTAGCACAGCTTCTCTGCCTAAGCACAAATTGTAAATTGAGTTGGATTCATATCTAACTATCCTTATTCTCACAAAAGAGCGAATGCAATTACATTTGAATGTAGTTTTGTCCAACGGGATTGCCAATCATAAAAAAACTTAACAATTTCCTTCTATAAGAACTTAAATGCATCATTCTGTTAGTTAAAAGATTAATATTTTTCAAAGGCACATAGCAATGAATTTATTCATGTTCGATAACAAATTGATTAATAGGAAATAAACCATGTAACAAGAAACAAGTACCTTCCAATCCTTGAAGAATTTTTGAAGTAACACAATGAGCAATAGTCCCAAAACATTCAATGTACTATGTATGGGCAACAATTACAACTTCTGTACAAAGTTCCATTGCTACTCCACTTAATTTTGAATCACTAGCTCCAAAAGGACAGCTCATACAAGCATTTCATCAAACAACTTATATGCATACAACAATCAAGCAGTTTTAGTAATGACTTTATCCTAATAGTCTTTTAAGCATTGACATATCAAAATATCCAAGTATGGGAAAATTACTAGTGTAAATGAGGAAATAAACGTTAACAAAAATTTCAACGCTTTAAACAATTCTTTCCAATTTCCAAACATATGTTTTAAAAAAATTATTCTAATTCACCTATAGTTCCATAGAATGTTGTTTCAAGAAATTAAATTTACAATTCAAATGTCTTTACCATTCTGTTAGATTCTGTTTCAAAATATTTGATTCACTGTCACGTAAAAAAAAATACCAAGACATTGTCACAAAGTTTTCCAATTATAAAATCCCATTACTTAAAAGAAGGATAAAGAACATTGCAATTTGAATTAAAATACAATTAGAACCACAAGTACACTTGCTAACTAATGGTAAGTGATATCTAGTCTTGCTGAATCCGTTTGATGATTTACTAGAAGCCTTTGGAGAAGATTCAACATCCGAATAATCACTAAAGGCTGAAGATTGAGAAGACACTCCATTCGGTGATTCATTAGTAGTCGGTAACTGAGATGGTTGTGTTGGAAATAATGATTTTATAGGCTTATTTTGGGCCAAATTTGAGCCTAAATTTGAGTGTGGCCCACACGTCTTTTGGGGTGGGTCCAAAGAAGTGACATGTTCCTTGCCGCATAACAAGTCACATAGTGCAAACGGTTCGTCAAAACCATTTATGAGTGAATGAGAAGTTGACGTCATTTTCAGATTCGTGAAATGGACAATTAAAGAAGTAAATGTGGGCTTCCTTGAAATGGTAATCCCACATTGGAAACTTAAAAGAACTTATATGTGTATATCAGTTCTAGATGGCAACACTTGGGTTGGGCCCCAAGGGGCACCCCAAGTTTGTAGAAGGGATGAGTTATGGACAAAGTGAACCTTGGCTCAAACCACCATACGCGCGCCACTACCGTCGCCGGCCGGCCGTGCGCGGGTGTGGGTCAAGTCAGTTCTAATATTAATTTTTTGGACAAAATTTATTTAAATTTTTTCCAAAAAATCTTGCGGGAAAATTAATTTAAATTTTGCGCCAATTTTTTCTATGCAAACAGTGCCTTTTTCAGTCCATTTTCCAATAGGATCAAACTGTTCAACAGATTGAAAACCAGCCCAGTAGTTTCGGACAGGTTTAAAATTGCCCAGTAGTTATGAACAGATATGAAACTATAGCAGTTATCTGTTCAAACAGTAACTGCACCTGTTCATTCAAAATCAGATATGTTCGGGTTTGAATTTCATACATGTTCAGCCCTATATATACCAAGACATGTCCAGCAAATTTTTCATTCCGAAAATTCATTTTTTCTTGCTTTCCTTTGTGCTCTCTTTGCATTATTCTACATACTAATTTTAGGGAAAAATTCTGAGAGTATAGAACACAGGTTTTGTTCGCCGTACAAATTGTTTAGAGTGCTACTACAATTTGTGAAGATTATTGTATCCTGAGAGATAGACGTCATTTATCTATAAGCATCGTAGCGAGGTCGAATTTGTCACGCTCCACTTTTTATATCAACGAATACCATTACCAAATCCTTCATTATAACACAATTTCAGAGATCATGCGTAGAAATTTAATACATTAATGAGTACTATTATTAAAGGTTCTCTCATTCGAATAATATAAAATGAATGCAACATGAGATAAAAATAAATAAATTGCCCGTAGGCTTACATCTTTTAAATTAAAAGAAAGGGTTTAACCTTTTTATATCAATGGCATTCCGCCTACAAATAAAAGGCCAAGTGACCAACACATAAAGAAGATCCTTGATCTTGAAACCCTTCTTGACGTTCACCTGAAAAAGGATTAGCAACGTAGAATGAACATAAAGTCCAGTAGGGATCCCAATATAATCCTAAACAATAACAACATACAAATATCTATGATCATGAATGCATTAAATCATATCATATACATAATGTGATGGTTTATACAGAAATATACTTATATAGGAATTTTTCTCATAATCATTCATTTCGTTCAACAACATAAGCATTTTACTTTTCTTTCTTCATGTTACCTTTTTCAAAATTCATATGATAATAACAAGTTCCTGAAAACAATTTTACAAAGCCCATTACGTTTTCTCCCACTTTCTGGGCGTACACCTCATTTGTCTTTTTGAAACATGTTCACAAGTATCCTATGTCCTTCACATTATTCACAATCTCAATACAGTACTTACGTCTGTTTCCAACACATTCATGTTTTTACATATACACATTCAGTACAAAGGGAAAACAACAAGCAATCAACAACTATCTACTCAACAAAAGAGGCAACTCAACAATAACCATCATGACCCATGATATACCCAGATACACTAAGACAATAATGATAAATGAAATTCTGCTATACCTGCCTTAAGCACGGTAAGCCAAGGATACACCTTTCCATAACAAAATGCCAAGTCAAGGATACACATTTCCATAACAAAATGCCAAGCCAAGTGTAACGCCCTCAAAATAAACCCATAATATCATACATTCAAGATATAGGAAAGAGATATTATATTACAATCATCAGAGTATTCTTACAACATGTATTACATATTGACAATAAAAGTAATCGCCCTATGGGCTTACAACTTCCCAAGACAACGCTTGGTTGCAAAAAGACAGTGCAAACTCTATACAAAGAAAGCCCTTGGCTTGATATACATGTAATACAACCAAACAACAAAAAAAGTGGTCTAATAGCCTCAAGCCTTCCAAGCTATGTCCTTGGAGGTGGCATAACACCTGTACCTGAAAATGATGTCCCATATAGGGTGAGCCAACGCCCAGTAGAGATATGCTAAACATAGTATGAACAGTAACTAAAACGTTAGCAATTGATAAACGTTTAACTCTTACACAACAACTTATAACACATTACAATCCCATGACTAATATGACCATGTTCTATTCCAGTTTCTGTTTCTTATCAAATTCTCAATTCATAACTATGACTCATAACTTGGCCAATCAATTTAAACGAGATCACATCTCATATCAACCGTATTTCTATTTCAGGCGAGATAATAACTCATTTTAAACATTTCATACCTCATAATAGATGCACATTTTAGTACTGTATCAATCTCAAACAAAACACTTCCATACTTCACAAATGATACACATTTTAGTGTTGTATCAATAACAAACAAAAACACGTCTATACTTCACAAATGATATACATTTTAGTGCTGCATCAATATCAAACAAAAACACTTCTATACTTCACAAATGATACACATTTTAGTGTTGTATCAATAACAAACAAAAACACGTCTATACTTCACAAATGATATACATTTTAGTGCTGCATCAATATCAAACAAAAACACTTCTATACTTCACAAATGATACACATTTTAGTGTTGTATCAATAACAAACAAAAACACGTCTATACTTCACAAATGATATACATTTTAGTGCTGCATCAATATCAAACAAAAACACTTCTATACTTCACAAATGATACACATTTTAGTGTTGTATCAATAACAAACAAAAACACGTCTATACTTCACAAATGATATACATTTTAGTGCTGCATCAATATCAAACAAAAACACTTCTATACTTCACAAATGATACACATTTTAGTGTTGTATCAATAACAAACAAAAACACGTCTATACTTCACAAATGATATACATTTTAGTGCTGCATCAATATCAAACAAAAACACTTCTATACTTCACAAATGATACACATTTTAGTGTTGTATCAATAACAAACAAAAACACGTCTATACTTCACAAATGATATACATTTTAGTGCTGCATCAATATCAAACAAAAACACTTCTATACTTCACAAATGATACACATTTTAGTGTTGTATCAATAACAAACAAAAACACGTCTATACTTCACAAATGATATACATTTTCTATCTTTTTAATAAAGGACTAAGGTTAGATACTCACCCTAGGTAGATCAATTCTTAGAGAGAAGACAAGTTTAGAGAGAGAGAGTTGGTTCTAGGGTTTCAAAAGAAAAGATGATGAAATAAAACATGTTTAACCTGCTGCTGCCTACTGATATATAACATGCCATTAGGACCTTACAGTTACACCAAAAATAATGACCATTAAACAAGAAAATGGTTACACCAAAATAATGACCATTAACCAACTTCATGAATTCTATTTAACCTCCATTTATGACCAAGAGGTTACCAAAGTAATGAAACCCTATAAATAAATATAAGATATTAAGGATTGGTCGCTCTAATGGACCACTAATAAGGGTAGTAACTGAACTACTAATAAGGATATTAAATGAACAAGTTTGTAACCACTAATAAGGATATTAAATGAACCATTATGAAAATTTAATGGACACTAACCCTTAGTTTCCAAACACAACCAACCTGTTTTAAACCTACCCAACACGACCCAAGACTCATATACAAAGAGTAAAGGATGGAAACGGGAAAAAGACAACAACACATCTACGGAACCGAGTCTGAAATACAATTAAACAATGAAGGGAAAACTGGGATCGCTATACCAAGGATACACTTTTCCATAACGAAATGCCAATTTACCCGACACCAGCTGGAAGGTGATGGTACCTTTGCCAAGTTCTCCAGGCGCTAGCTGGAAAATACTAGTACCTCTCATTCTAAGGGCAGCCAATTCTCCAAGCGCTAGCTGGAAGGTAATGGTACCTCTCATTCGAAGCGCAAGCACATTCCCAACCATCTCAACATACTAGAATGCATAATAACACAAGTGTAATACATACACGATATTATTCAACACAACAATGCCATCCTCCACCGATGACTAAGGGAAAAACCTCTAAGTAAAGGTATTAAATACTCGTAGGACAACAATTCAATTCTTGCAAGACTTTCAGTCCAATAAAAGTGATAATATGTAAAGGTTCCAAAATCCGACCTCAAGTTCATTATCAATTTACAAAGGGTGATGATTTCATTTTCTTTCAAAAAGACCACTTTTCTTTATTTTCCAATCCACACAACTCCAACCATTTTCTAAGAATTCAGTCTCGTCATTTTACAAAACCAAAACCAAATCCATCCTCTTTATTTTACAAAACCAATTCCATTGGTATCAAAACCATAACTCAACTCAACTTTACATGATTAATCTAAAACAATACCAACACCGTGGTTATTTCTCTTTTTATTTTCTTTTGATATAAACACAATTATACAACCCATATTAGCAAAATATAAAGATTATTCAAGTTCCTCCCTTTTAAATCCATTATATCAATAATATTAAATTAGGGCTTTCCTCCTTTTTAAATCCATTAAATCAATAATATTAAATTAGGATTTTCCTCCCTTTTAAATCCATTAAATCAATAATATTAAATTAGGGCTTTCCTCCATTTCTTCACAAACAAAATAAATCATTTCCCAAATAACCCAACAACAAACAACTTGACAACTCCAATCACAAATATCAAACCCTAGATCCCCTTTCATGGTTTTCAAGAAAATCCATAATGAATATAATTTTGATGCAATAAAATCTACCACATATCTATCTATAGACGAAATATTAGAAAGGAGCAAAGAAATCCCTACCTCTTGAAGCGAAGAAATGAAAACCTAAAATTCATCGGTGACGAAACCACGAACTATTAGGACCAAAAGGAAGCCCTTGACGAGATTTATAATTTTTCTCAAAGGATCATGGTGAAAAGATCACTCTAGGTGAGTAGATCTAGAGATCTAGGTGCGAAAAGTCAAGTTTAGAGAGAGAAGAGAGAAATCACGGTTTAAGATGAAAAGAGGAGAAAAAGTAATGAGAGGAAAGTGGTTTGGGTCTATTTATAGTAGTAGGAAATTGTCCTAAAGTCAAATAAAAAGGACAAGTCAAAAACCCCCCAAAAGTAGGGCCCAAACCAGACTGAAATCTAGAAAAAAGTTCACAGGGGTCGACCCTTGCAATAAAGGTGTCGACCTTTCAAACAAAAAAACAAAGAGTGCAACAGGCAAGGTGTTGACCCTTCACAGACTGGTGTCGACACCAAATTCCAGCAAGCAACTTCTAGATTCAGCAATATATAAGGGTCAACCCTTCCAGACTGGTGTCGACCCTCAAGGCCAACAATAAAAGGCAAGTGTCGACACCACCAAGATTGGTGTCGACTCCTGAACAAGATTTCTAAGTTCCCAAACAACTTTTCAACATAAACAAGCATGAACAAACAATCCCAACAAGTTTAAACCGATTTTCACTCATCCAAAACCAATATACAACAACACCAAAGATCCCTAAAATAAAATAAAGGATTCAAATACACTTCCCAAAAGTTTTAAAAGGGTATAAGTGCTACAGAATCTGTCTTAAGAATAGAGTGTCACACACTTGACTTGATCTTTTAAATATTTATTCGGTTTAGTAAATAAATTCTGTAAGTAATTTATTTTTATTTGTTTGATTTAGTTTTAAATTATTTATTTTACACAGAAGATTGTTCCAATAGGTTGTGCATATGGTGGGCCATTTGTATTGGAGAATTGAGAAGGTAGTGCATTTGGTAAGGCATTTGTAGCTGGAGATTGAGAAGGTGCTACAACTAGAGATTTAGAAGGTGTTTTTGCATCTTGGATTGGCCCTTGTGTGTCTCTTTGTTTCACATTTATTAAGAGCTTTTGGCCACCTTTCTCGCAGTGCAACCCTACACCACAAACAAAATATTTTGGCCCTGGGCTTTCAAGAGTAATTGTATCCTCTCCTGAAGCTAATACTCCATCTTGTGGAATAATGCAGTTCTTGTAGGCATCTTCGTTCACTTGATACATGTTGTGAAGTTCAATAGTATACTTGAAAACTAAAAAAATATTCAATTAAAACGTAATTAGGTTATCATTGTATCTTTGGATAAAAATGTTGAAAATATGAATATTTATATATGTGTGTGAATAAGGAGTAATCATTTTTTTTTTTCCCGGTTGAACCAAACATGTTAATCATACCAAGAAGACTTATTAAGTAGTTATATTAATTACCAAGTTTATCTCCAACCCGAAATTCTTTGCCTTTGGACCAAACCTTCATAACCGTATGTTGATGTCCATCTAGCTTCATCACCAACTATAAACTCTCCAGCAAAGTTGACTGTTGGAAGAAAAATGACAACAATGGAAAAAGTGAATAGATATTGTCTGGCCATTGGGTTACTGTCGTAATCTAATGTAAGATAATAGATGTGATACTTTTGGTTTTTGTTTTGGTTTTACGAGTTTTCAATTTATTGAGGAATGGATGAGGAAATTAGAAAGGGAATTATTTATAGAGTAGATCATTCTCAATCCATCAAGGTACATGGATCACTCTAGAGACCTCTCCCTCTATTTTTTGCACGCTAGTGTTGAATATTTGAGAGTGATTTGCGATTTTTTCACTCTAGGAAAAAATAAAATCAAAATTTTGAGTCATGAAAAATGACTCATTTGAGACAAAAATGTAAGACTAAATTAATTATTTAGGCATTATGGTGACCTACATGATATGACAATATGAATTAGAGATTTTACAGAAGTATGATTCCATATCTTTTGCTCCAAGATTTTATCTAATTGGTCACCTCTACTAACCATGATATCATGTTTTGAAAACATTATGCGTTCTTATTCCGGTTATTAGCCTAGATTTACTATGTGATGCGCACAACACAAAAGTATAGACTAGATCGCCTAATTTGGAACAAAGCATCGCATATCCGTTTGTTTGGAAATGATTTGAAATCTGCTACTCACGAGCAGGCTAAAACACGGATTTCAATGAGTTGTTCCACCTCAAACAATCCCACCTTCACCCACAGGCATTCAGGCTGTAATATCACATAAGCACATAGCCACATGATAAGCATGCTATCATGTTAACATTCACACTCATGCGAGAAGCTAAAGCACAAATACTTACATCGTACTCCGTGCCAAAGCAATGAACTAGTTAGTAATCATGCATGATCCTAGTTCATGTTAAGATGGTTAATGCAACACATGTAAGATGCAACTACAATAAGCTTGGCTATTCTAAGATGGCATATGATGATGCTACAACTAACACGTATTCAACTTGGAATTGAAATACAATGCAGTTAGTATGATATGCCGAGCCTGGTGCATGCAATACTGATGAATGAATGCACGCATGCATAGCATAAGGTATGCTAAATTAATATGCCCTAGTACTAACCATCAAAAGCAGGTAAGTAAAAGGGAGAAAGAAATAGGGGTTGGAAGACATGCACACATGCACCCACACTTATTACAAATTTGCCCTCGCTCAGAGGGACCAAAAGAATAATACACTTTAATTAACCTACAATCTAATTAAATAATTTACAGACCACCTAATTAATCAACAAATCAATTAAGCTAAGGAAAGCATTAAAAGGCCTCGGGAAGAGGGATGCACGCGTGGTCGGATTGGCTTCGCCCGGAAATCCAATGCCATGCACAAGCTGCCTCTATTTTCCCTGCTCTGCTCCTCTAAAAATGGCACAATTCCCAAGGTACACCTTATGAACACTGGGGAATGCCACCGGCCATGAGGAATGGTCATCGGCCAAATAGAAGTGGTCATTGACCATCTATGGAGTTATCGGCCATCAATAATTGGTCGATCGGTACTTGATGTAGTTGACCAGCCAAAGCTTCCTACAGGACCTGTTTTGACAACAGCAGAGGGCAAAACAAGGCATGGTAATGCATTTCAAGCAAATGTGTGCACCAATACACCCCTTATCATGTTTATGACTAAAAGGGGGATAGTACTCGATTCTCGGACCACCAATCGCGCATTTCAATGCATGATGGCCCAAGAAACCAAGTTGTGCACTTTCATGTCAAATGAAATGCAAACCAAATAAGCACATAAAGGCCCAACCTCTATCACTTGATTTCAAGAGGCAAGGCATGCATGTTCAATGCAATGCACCCTAGGCGTGGAAACTAAGTAGGCAACATGAACATGTGGCAAGCATGGAAAGCATATAACAAGTATGCAAGCTAATTGAGCATGCAAGATGCAATGCCAACATGCAAATATACAAAACATGTGGCATGTTAAGCAATCAAAACAAAGATGAGAATGCATGCCAAATGCACTATGATTCAAGCATGCAACACACGCGGTAGGCAAAGTGTTCAACAACACACAAGGCGAGCATGTAACAACACGCGAACAATGGACTCATACCAAGGTGGACAGCTCTATACTAAGCCCAAACAGTGGCCAAAGGCTATGGAAATGGGGCCAAATGCACATACAAGTATGTATGCATACATGATCCAATTCCTAAGCATCAAAAGGCAACTTTTAAGCACACTAAAAGGGAGGACAATCATGGACTAATGGCATGCATACTAAGCTCTGAAATCATGTTATAAAAGGTGCCAAACCAAGTAAACAAGACAAACTAAGCATGCAACGATGTCCGAAACTCAAGGTAAGCCAAGGGGCTTAAACCATGGCCATGCCAACCAAGCCTCACAAGGCTAAGAGGACTTAAAGTAGTCCCAAGGCAGACCTAAAAAAAGCTAAAGACACACCTAGATAGCATCTAAGTGGCCTACGCATGGAAGCATACAAAAGAGGCCAAACATGGAGCACAAGACTACAACCTTTTAAAGCATTAAGGGAGCATGAAATGCAAGCATACAAGCATACCATGGGGATTGAAATGATACTATAAGTGGTGCCAAACCACTGAAACAAGCTAAGCAATGCATGCTAAATACTCACACACCCGAGGCTAGCAAGCCAAAATGCAAGGTGGCTATACAAAGCATGTCAAGCATGGCCAAAGCAATTAAAAACAGAGCTAAAGCGTACTAAATCATGCATAAAAGCTTCACAAAGCTTGGCCAAAATCATGCTATAACAAGGCTCAAAGTACAAAGCATGTTAAGGCAAATTCATGGCATTACATGACAAGTATGCTAAGCATGCATGGTGTGTCTAAACCAACTAAAAATAGTGCTATATCATAACAAAATAAGCACAAATAACACTTAAGACATGGCCAACATGAACTTAAAAATGGTGCTCACACATGAGGCTAAAATGGCACTTTTTGAAGGCAACAAAGAGAGTGGATGACCCTTTCCTTCTTAGGACCTTAAAGCACCATCCCCACTACTGAAATCCCTCAAGATTTCAGTGGTGAGGAGGCCCAAACAAGGTGGTCCCAGAGCGCACCAAAATAGCATAAAATGGGGGCCAAACAAAGCCTAAGAGGGGTCAAACAACCCCAAATCTCAAAGCAACCTTAATCAACTATTTTAAGCAAGTAAAAACAAGACTTTTATATGTTATACACTAAGCTCAAAAACAGATGCAAGGTAGGCAAAAAGACTATGCAAAAATGGGGTATTTAAAGGTAAAGTTCTTACCCTTGTAGACCCCTTCAAGAACAGCACTCCAGCCGCTTTCCTTAGCTCAAAACCAGCTCAAATCTTCAAGAACAACCTAATGGCTCCTCAGCAACCAAGGTAAGGTGTAAAACTAGGTGTTTGTGCATAAAAGTAAGGACAAACACACACTTATACACAAAGAGGGAGATATAGAGATAGAATAGATACACTATGGCTAACCCTAATCCAGACCTCTGGAACTCAACCCTCTAACCTCTGAGGAGGGAAGAGAAGCCCTCCTCTTATAGAGGATCACTTTTGCAAAGCTTACAAGACAAGCTAAGCAAGAGTGAAATCCTTCCATACACGTGTATGGAGGGGGTGTAAGGTGTATGCCAGCTAGCACAGCTGACATAAAAATATCTGTAAAAGCAGATGCACAGTGGTCGGCCAGCCAAAAATGACAAAATGGCAAAATACATGGTTCGACCGACCACAAAGAGTGCCGACCGACCAAACATATGGCCGATGGCAACAAAACAATGGCCGGTGGCCTCAAGTCATGGCCGGTGAGGTGTGGGGGTGGCCAACAAGCCATTCCCTGCCCTCCAAAGAAAAAACACAAGTGTTTGGTGCAAAACCAAACACAAAACAGTCGAGTCGAGCGATCCTGAGGCAAGGAGCGTGGCCGAGACCTCCGGGAACTCAAGACGAACACAAACATGGATGATCACCAAGTGCTCAAACGGTGACGTCCAAGTCTTGAGGACAGTCATGAATGGGGTGTCTACAGTTGCCCCTCTTTGACAGAACTTGAAAGTCATAACAATGACGGGAGTGAGTGTCAAAGCCCAGAGACGGCCCATTTTTGACAAGGCTGAAGACTTAGACAAACATGCAAGACAATAAAGATATGCGCCCGAAGGCGGGGGCAAAATGCAACTGACAATGCAAGAAGCCGAACATAACTCATGATCATGCAAAGAAAGCTGTAACGAAGCATAACATCCAACAATTTTAAGCAAGAACCAAGCTACATTACAATGCAGAAAGGATGTAAGAGAATTATGTAATTCTCGCTACGTTTCAAGCGGAGAATACAATACCTATTCGGTTCGTCTGGTTGCACCAGCTTCAAATGAACCGTACATACAATATCGTGCCTGTAAAAGAGAGAAACTTAACAAGTACAATATTGTTAGTAACATGCACAACAATGCAATCGAAAGCTGCGTGACAACGCAATGCACTAACAAGTGCGAATGAGGTGCGCAAGATAGCGCGATGCGCAAGATAGCGCAATTGAAATGCATGCGAAATGCGAGCAAGGTGCACAAAACAGTGCGATGATATGCAAATGATATGCAAAATTACAAAACAATGCAAATGATATGCAATGCGTTTGAAACATAATCAAACCATAAGCAGTTCAAAACCATACAAATATCATAAGGATGATGGAGATACAAAGTCCGTCTACCATAGAAAAGGTGCCGCAACCCTCAAACCACAATACCAGCAGTGGAATAGGTGCGTACACATGCAGAACTATGAGTAATGTAGACGGACACAAGAACAAATAATTGGGTGGAATGACATAAGTGAGGCATGCTCTGCTGAGGAAAGACCATGATCCTAAATGCTGGATGCAACAAATTACACTACACTATAATATATACAATGGATAAGGCCTACGGCCAAACCGTTTCTTGCCTAGGAAAGGCATGGACACATACAAACCATGTCTAACACAGAAACGATGCCGTCACCCTCAAACCACAATACCAGCAGTGGAATAGGCACGTACACA